TTGGCCGGCTGGGTTTCCTGTGCTGCTCGCTGTGCGGGGAAGACCCCCGCCCCGAGGCCCCAGAGCCCAGACTGCCCCTAGCCCAAACGCAAGACGTTATTCCCCACAGCCCCGCCCTAATGCCACAGGCTCCACCCCAGTCACACCCCAGAACCCCAGCTCCATCCCTAGCCCCGCCCTGGCATCTCCACTCCGCCCATAGACCCCCGTTCCCACTGGCGTCCTCAGGCTCTGCCCCTAGTCCTGCCCAATCACCACTGGACTTAGCCTGCCCCTCCCGACTCCATCCTAAGCCCCACCCCGGCACGCCCAGTCTCCGCCCATAGCCTCCTACTCCCCTCCCCCACTGCCTCCAGCGTTCCCAAATCCTGTCCCGGAGCCTACCCGCCATCCGTCCCTCTACCTCTTGTCACCTGAGGCACCTCTCCCCGACCCACCCCGCCGCACCTCCCTGGCTCCACCTCCACGCCGGGCCCCGCCCCCGCCCGCTAATGCGGGTTTTGCTCTCACTGCAGCGTTCGCAGAGCGGCGCGAGCGGAGCTTCAGCCGGTCCTGGAGCGACCCCACCCCCATGAAAGCCGACACTTCCCACGACTCCCGAGACAGTAGGTGCCCTGTGCAGGCCAGCCCGTCTCTCCCAGAGGCTCCCCTAGGCCCCCGGGCCCCCTGCCGGGCGGCCAAGCTTCTGCGCTTCTGCTCTCTGATCCTCAGTTTCCCCGTCTGGGCAAACTAGGGCGCCCGGCACCTCTGATCTCGTGGGCGGGGTTAACTAACACCGCTGCGGTGCTGGCCAAGGGCGCTTGTGCGGCTCTGCTCGCTGCGCGGCCCATGTTCCCTCTCCAGGAGGCCTGAGAGGCAGGGGGCTGCAATGCTCAGCTCCTCCTTGGTGCGCTGCGCCAGGCTCGCCTCGCTGGAGCTGACACTTGCACCCTGGCTCCCACCGGCCTTGCACCGGGATCCACTGGCCTTCCCAGCCAGGGTGCTTCTGGCTGGTGGTGATTTCGGCTCCACTCCCTTCCCTGCCCCGGGTTTCCTCACTGGCCTCCAGGACGGGGCTTGGCAGCTCTGCCCATCTCTGGGGGCTGCAGCCAAGACAGGAGGTGCAGCTGACGGTCTGCAGCCCTGGTGACACACCCTGCCCCTCAGGTAGTGACCTGCAGAGCTCGCACTGCACCTTGGGCGAGGCTTTCGAGGACCTGGACTGGGAGACTGAGAAGGGCTTGGAGGCTGTGGCTTGTGACACCGAGGGCTTTGTGCCACCCAAGGTCATGGTGAGACCTGGCCACCCTAGTGTTTCTCCAGCCAGCCCTGGGAGGGTGGTTCTTCCCCCTCCAGCAATTCGCTCTCTGTCTGGGAATGAGGCAGCTACTTGACTCTGTCTAGAGGGTGGGGGTGTCTCACTGGACTCCACTGTGGGCTGCCCAGCAGCGGGGGGTTGACCTCACCTGGGCTCCCATGCCCCTTGGCTCGGAGGTGGCTGGGCCCTTCCTGAGCAGCTTCTTGTGTTGTCCCCCAGCTCATCTCTTCCAAGGTGCCCAAAGCTGAGTACATCCCCACCATCATCCGCAGGGACGACCCCTCCATCATCCCCATCCTCTACGTGAGTACCTGCTCCGCCCCCTCCTGTCCCCCAGTGCCGGGTGGGGGTGCTGCCTGAGAGAGGCTCTGATTTGGGCGTGGCCTGTTCTGTCCCAGGACCATGAGCATGCGACGTTTGAGGACATCCTGGGTATGTGCCCAACGTTCCCACCATCTCCTGGGGTGGGGCCGGGGGTGTGTACAGGGCTGCAGAGGGCGGTGCTCACAGCCCTCCCTCCCCAGAGGAGATAGAGAAGAAACTGAACGGCTACCACAAGGGCGCCAAGATCTGGAAGATGCTGATATTTTGCCAGGTAGGGCTACGCGCGCCTCCTGGGCTGGGAATGGGGCGTCGAGGGTGCTCCCTCCATGGGCGTGCGCATGTGCACGGTTGGGGGAAGCAGTGGGTGGGCACCTGTGTGCCACCTGCCCAGCCAACCGTGGCCTCTGACAGGGCGGCCCAGGACACCTGTACCTGCTGAGGAACAAGGTGGCCACCTTTGCCAAAGTGGAGAAGGAAGAGGACATGATTCAGTGAGTTGGCGGGGGGGCGGCCATGGTGGCCGGGGAGGGAGGGCTGGAGGCCATGGCTGCTGCCCACCACAGCCGCCTCCCCATGAAGTTCCTGTCTCTGGATCTGGGCCCTGGGCCCAGACCCACCCCTGCTCACACCTGGGGGCCTGGGTTGGTGCCACCTGTGACTCACCCCTCCCCACCAGCTTCTGGAAGCGGTTGAGCCGCTTGATGAGCAAAGTGAACCCAGAGCCAAACGTCATCCACATCATGGGCTGCTACATTCTGGGGAACCCCAACGGGGAGAAGGTACAGGGACCCCCAGACCCCATCCCAGGCTTCTGGACCCCAGACCCATGAAAAGTGTTGACAAAAACATCCCACCCTCCTCTCTCCTCCCCTTTCCCTCTTCCTTCGAGCCCCCAGCGAGACCCCTTGTGCCTGAGCCCAGCCAGTTGCTGAGGGGTTCCTGCCCCTCCCCACACGATGCTTCCCAACCCCCTCCCTATGCAACCCTGATCTCTCGGCCCCGCCCCTTTCAGCTGTTCCAGAACCTCAGGACCCTCATGACCCCTTACAGAGTCACCTTTGAGTCCCCGCTGGAGCTTTCCGCCCAAGGTGAGTTTGTCAGGCCGGTTCCTAGCTCTTGGGGTGGGGTCCAAGAGGTAGCGGCGTGAACCCCGGCCCAGCCTGAGCCGCGCCCCGCCCCCTCTTACCCTTGCCCCGCCCTGAGCTGTGGCCCCATCCCATCTTTCCTCGGCCCCCTGCCCCCCCACGTGCCTTCCCTCCCCCAGCTCCGCCCCCCCGGGCCGGGCCCTGAGCGCCTCCCGCCCCTCCTCCCTAGGGAAGCAGATGATCGAGACCTACTTCGACTTCCGTCTGTACCGCCTGTGGAAGAGTCGCCAGCACTCGAAGCTGCTGGACTTCGATGACGTCCTGTGAGGGCGGGGCCACCGCCCGGCTGCCTCCTCGGACTGGCGACTGGGGCTGGGTGCCGCCCGACCGCGTGGGTCCGCGTCTTCACGGCGACTTCAGGGCAGCCTCACCCGCTCAGGTTCGCTCCGGGCCTGGTCCTCAGCCCGGCCGCCGGGAGCGTCGCCGGCGGCCCGGACACCCGGCAGCCTGGCGCTGGCCCGCTGCCCCGCGCGGTCGTAGAAACAAGTGCACTTTTCTACAGCCTCCTGTTAACTAGTCACGTGCTCGTTCCTGGTTCTGCATAGGCGACCCGCCGGGTGTCAGGGCCCTCCCGCCCCGCCCCGGCCCGGCCGGGCCCGCCCCGCCGAATCAATCACCAGCACAGGGTGGCCCGGGCCCAGCCCCTGATCGCCCGCTTGCGCTCCTCCCGCCCGCTTGTCCTGAGCTCAGCCGGCTGCAGCGGGAGGGCCCGTCCTTTGTCCCTTCTCAGGGGTGCGGCGAGCAGCAGCCTGCCCCGGCCCTCCCGCGCCCGCCCCTTGCTGCTGTCTAGTTCACCTTGTGCAGCCACGCTCTGGAGGCCTCTCCCAGCCAGAGGGCCGGGGCCTTGGCTGGGCAGCCGGGGCAGGGCCCCGCATCCCAGGCCCAGAGCCGAGCAGCCTTGCCTGGGCCCCGCGGGCGGCTCTCTTGTACATAGCTGGGGCTCGGGGGCAGGCCCCCCTGTGCAGAGCCCGGCTGAGGGAGGGGCGGGGTGTGTTCCGGGCTCTGAACAATGTACGATACCCCTTAGAGTGACCATTAAACCCGACCCTCCGCACCGGTGGCTGTAGGTCTCCTGTCTCAGCACCGTGGGTGACCACCCTGGGCCCAGAACCTCTGGCCCGTTGTTCAGAGGTCTCTGCTCTGGTGGCTACCTGCACACCCTGGCCAGGACTGAGGGTGCAGGGCTTCTAGAGCCCCCCCCCCGGGGCACACTCCATGAGAGGGTCTGGTGGGGCGTCAGGGCCTCCCGGGACACCCGGAAGTGGGAGGTGACGAGCAGGTCCTTGACAGGCTGCAGGGAACCGAGGAGTAGTCCCAGAAAAGGGCCAAGCAGGGCCCGCAGAGACACCCTGGCCCCTTGCCATCTCTGCTCCCACCCCAGGCACTGAGCAGAGGGCCGTCTGCCCCTCCGGATTGTTCTCTGCATGTGGTCAGCAGTGTGGCCATAGCAGGGGGCCAGGAAGTGATGACAGGAGCAGCTGGCCCCCCTCAGCCTCAGTCGCTTTCAGATGTGCCCAGTGCCACCCCTCCCCCTCCAGTGGCCAAGCTGCCACTGGGCACAGCCAGGCCTGGCAACCCAGTGGCTCCTGGTCCAGTGGCCTAGGGATGGAGCAGCTGCTGCCTGCTGGGCACACCCAAGGCCACCAAGGGCTGGCTGGCTGGGGACGTAAGGAGGCCACCAGCAGACAGCATTAGCGGAGGCTGGGCCAGTTACTGGGGCCCTGGGGGCAAGTGGCCTTTCCTAGAGTAGGCCTACTGGCTCTGGGGCATGGCCCTGTGGCTCCAGCATCCCCAGGGCGTCCCAGATGGGGCCCAGGTGGGATGGCAGAGATTTGGCTGCAAACAAATGGGGAAACTTATAGCAATTTAGACTCAATTCCTGTCTGCATACTTCCAGTTACTGTGTCACCCATCACAGAGTCACATGTGACTCAGGAGTCCTCTGAATCCTCTCAGTTCCTGAGACTTGCCATGTCCCTCCTACCCCTCAGACCTGGAATCCACATGATGCCAGGATTTCTGTTTGTAGACAAAAGCCCGTGCAGGCCGTGCAGACAGACACTCTCCACGCGACCCACACACTTGCATGCCCTGTGTGCTTAGAAGGCACATTCACCATGTCACCTGCAACCCTGACCCCAGGACCAGCCAGTTCACAGAGCGCCCCTGCCCCTTACCTGGACTCTAGTGGGGATCCTGCAGTCTAGGGTCTGGGCTGCTTCAGCAAGTGTGTCTACCCCACACGGTCCTTAGGGTCACTGATGGGTAAGGGCTGGATGATCCACCAGCAAGAGGCTCACAAGGTTCCATTTATCATACCCGTGACCGCCAAAGAGAAGCTTGATGGAAGAGACACATCCAACCCAAGGACAAACAGTATATACATGGAACAGCATTTGGGAAAAGGTGCAAAACTAGTTAGGTGGTGGCAGACGTGAAGGTGGGCTGGATTAGGGCAGCACAGGGGGCCAAGCCCACCTCAAGTCACATCAGGGCCGACGTACCCACCCGCCCCGACAGAGATACAGAAACAGGCAGCAGCCAGAGACAGCTGGGGAAGATCTGTAACATGTTAGAAAGGGGTAAGGTCCTTCACATGCAAAGAGAGTTCATGTGTTGATAAGAAAAAGACAAAAGGCAATAGGGAAAAACAAGCAGAGATCTGAAGAGACAGCTCAGGAGGAAATCAGGTGGCCGTAAACGCACGGAGAGTCTTAACCTCATTCGGGATTGAGTAAAAGGCAACAAAAGGAACAAGGCGTTACCTGCCTCTTGGCTCGCCCCAGATCCTAAAGGACGTCAGTGTCCTATGCTGGCGAAGGTGTGGGGGAAAGGTCATGTGAATTGCTATAGTGTTTTTGGAAAACAATCTGGCATTAACTAACTCTTGATGAATCATGGTGAAATAGAAAATCTGGACAGACTGATTCCTAGCAGGGAGACTGACTCAGTAATCAAAAACCTCCCCAAAACAAAAGTCCGGGACAAGAGGGCTTCACTGGTGAATTCTAGCAAACATTCAAAGAAGAATTAATACCAGTTCCTCTCAAACGCTTCCAAAAAACAGAGGCGGGACTCTTCCAAGCACATTTCAACACCAAACGAGCATGACACGCGCTCGTGAAAATCACAGGCCGATGTCCCTGATGGACACAGATGCAAAATCCTCAACAAAACACTAGCAAGCTGAATTCAACAACACCTTAAAAAAAACATGTCACGATCAAGTGGGATCCAGTTCAGAGATGCAAGGGCGGTTCAGTCTCTGCAAACGAGTCAGTGTGACACGCCACATTAACAAAGCGAAGGATGAAAATGATCTCAATAGATGCAGAAAAAGCATTTGACAAGATTCAGCATCTATTTAAGATAAAAACTCAACCAAGTGAGGTAGAGGGAACATACCTCAACAAAGGCCATGTATGACAAGCACACAGCTAACATCATACCCAGTGGCGACAGGTGAAAGCTTTTCCTCTACGATCAGAAACGACAAGGCTGTTCACTCTTGCCGCCTTTATTCAGCATAGCATTAGAGGTTCTAGCCAGAGCGATCAGGCAAGAGAGAGAAAGTTTCCAAATTGGAAAAGAAGAAGGAAGATCTCACTACGTGCAGATCCCATGAGGTTATGTATAGAAAACCCAAGGACGCCACCAAAACTGTTCGAAATGCAAAATCAGTGCACAAAAATCTGTTGCATTTATTTACATTAATGAACTATTGGGAAAAAAATTAAGAAAACAATATTTTACAATTGCATCCAAAAAATAAAATACTTAGGAATAAATTTAACCAAGGAGGTTATATGAAAGACCTTATATCGAAAACTACAAGACATTAATCTTTTTAAATGTTGAAAAAGACAAAAACTGTTGGAAAGACATCCTGTGCTCATGAATTGGAAAAATTAATATTGTTTAAATGTTCATACTACTCAAAGCAATATACAGATTCACTGCAATCCCTATCGCATTTCCAGATTGATAAATTGGATTTCATCAATAATTAAAATTTTTGCTATGTGAAATACACTGTTAAAATCATGAAAAGACAGCTACAGACTGGGGAAAAATATTTGCAAATCACATACATGACAAAGAACTACATCTAGAATATGTAAAGAATTCTCTAAACAGGAAGAAATCAAACAATGCAACTTCAAAAAATGGGCCGAAGACGTGAGCCTTCAGTAGAGAGGGTGGATGCACCCGGGAGGCCTGTGGCAGCGGCCAGCAGCACAAATTAAAGCCACACGATGTGCCACCGAGCACCTGTCGGATGCAGGAAGATTAAAAACTGCGACACCAAGTGCCGGGGGGTGGTGCAGAGAAACTGGACTCTTGCAGTTCGGAATCAGGTCGAAGCGGCCGGACCTGGCGCCCAGGGGTCTGCCTCCTGGATGCGAGCTGAGAGCATAGGTCCAGGAGAGACCTGTGTGCACTCACACGCCTCTGCATGGTCACCATGGAAACCCCATCTGCACACCTGGACTGGACGTGGGCAGAGAGGAGGGACCACCAGAGCCCACAGTGGCCTCAGGCCTCAGGGTGGAGGAAGCCAGACGTGATCCAGCCCCAGGACCTTCTCCCAAAGACAAAACCAGAGCGGAGAGCCACGTGTGGGGTCAGACTCTCGGGGGCAGGGTGTGACCACAGAGGGGCACAGGAGGCCAGGCAGCGTGGTTTCGACTGTGTTCACGGGAATCTACATGGGCACAAAGGGACAGTTCTACTGCTGCTTAAAACAACCGAGCAGGCCGGGGCGGGGCCAGACTTCCCCCTCCTCCCAGCACTGGGACTGGCCCCGCCTCCTGGCCTTCGCTCCGGCCCTTTCTGGTCACCTGACCTGCCCCCGGCTGGAGCCCTGATACGCTTCCAGGTGGGGAGGGCGGGGTCACAGGGCGAAGTCTGAGCAGCCTTCAGGCCGCGGTGGCCCGCTCACGTGGTCCCAGAGCAGGGCAGGCAGCAAGTGGCGGAGACCACCTCCGTGGCAGGGGGTAGGAGACCCTGCGGTGGGGGCGCGACCCTGGGCAGGGGCCCAAGTTCAGCCCCACTTGCCCAGTCTGAGCTGGGGGTGGTCTGCAAGCTCTGGCAGACAGCCTCGGCCACCAGTGCGGTCTGCTGCCTGACCCAGGTCCAGGTGGGCAGTGACCGACTGGGCGGGGGCGGGGCAGGCGGGACAGCACCTGGCAGGTACAGAGGGACAAGAGTCCAGCTTCCTCCTTGCTGCAGCTGGTTGTCTACCATCCTAGGTGAGGGGGCTGACCGGGCCCTGGGGGCTGTCCTGGTCTGAAGGGGGCTGACTGGTCCCAGGGGGCCATCCTGGTCTGAAGGGGGCTGATCACTGGGAGGCCATCCTGGTCTG